TGTGTGCCCATTGCTTATCCTGAGATTGCTAAACATTTTTGTGGTACCAGTTCACTCATTCAGTTTATAAATTGAATATAAAAGTATAGATGCATTCTAAAACTACACTAAAAAAACTAACTTGGTTTTGGTGTCAACAGCTCTCTTCAGTTTTGCAGAACCCAAGAGGAAAAAGCATACATAATGCCAGAATTTAAGAAGCATCAAAATTTATAGGATTAGTGATAATGTAAATGTTCAGTATAGACAGTGGAATCTGAAGCCTTCAAGAAAATTTTCCCACTATGCTGTCATCTGCAACTTAGTATATGTGTAGCCAGTGCCCTTATTTACATTGAGTAGCAATCCTGTATCAGTATAGGTGGGATGCTTTTGAGCTAAACCCAAATATCAGAGTTGTGTATCAAAGCAAACTGTGCTTTAAAAAGGCTGAAATGTCACATACATGAATCTTAAAAACATAGCAGGCTCCTATGGTTAAGCTAATTTTGCTTGATTCTGTTTGGTAAGCAGAGGGGGACAGAGTTATGAAAGTCATCAAAACCAGTCCCTCATTTCAGAAGTCATGTTAAGTGGTTCTTCTGTAGCTCCTGAAATTCCCCCTAAGAATTTTCCATACCATTTCAAGCCTATCTTTGGGAACTAATGAGTAGACTTACCCTTTGTAAAGGAAACTAAGGTTCATGGAATGCTGATACCTGTATTTGTGAGGTAACTAGGAAATATACAGATTATAAGTATATTGGAATTTGGTCACCATGGTAAAAAGGATGGAGATCTTACCATCTTTTGAGTCTCAAGGAGCTGTATGCAAATCTTGTGTAGATTAGCCTTCCTAATAAATTGAACCAAGAAAGATACTTGAATGTACCAGTGTTCGGAGACATATCCTATGGTGCAATTGCAAGTATGCATATAGCCTTCAAAAGTCAAGAGGTACCTCTTTATTCATCAGAGACTAGAAATTCTTTCCATCCCAGGACCAGCATTGCCATAGTTAAGTACAAATGTCAATAGTTTTTTTTTTGCCTAGTAGAAATTATTTATTTATTTTGGTGAGCATCTAAGTGTATAATTGTACCTTTAAACTCTGGTTGTAGTGATTTGCAAGACTTGAGCCCTAGAAAGAAGACAACTGAAATGTTACTTCAAGTTGCTATGGTATTGTTCAGTGAGGCTATTGGGATTATAGTGAAGTGGAATATTAATTAAGATGAATGATTCATATTGTTTTTTTAAAAAATCAGAAATAATGTGTGTGCAGTCTGATTTTCGGCCCAGTTGTCCACCTTAGTTTCTTCCAGTTTGTAATAATGTCCTATTTATTCAAGAGTTATCCTCAAAGTATTCAGAACATACTTATCTAATTGCAAATAGGTTGTATTTTGCATCAGTGGTTTTTGGGGCACTGCTATTTTCATACTGTCCTTGTGGGTTTATCCCAAAATAAGTCTACATTTATATTGGCCCCATTTCAGGTTTTTGGTTTGTCGGATGCATTGAGCTTTTAAACTAAAGATTATCATCCTGAAATTGATCCTGTGCTGCATTAAAGATTCACTTGTAGCCTTGATACAATATGTATTTAACTATTGTACAATAGTTTGTACACTTCTGCAAGTCTGAAAATGGTGGTACATGGATACTGTGTTTTTATGGTGTGTATAGAAGTGATGCTATGCCAGGTCACAACTATTAAAAATACCATGGGAATAATTTGCACCATATGTAACTGGCAACTATAATATGTTTTAAGATTCCATTAGCTATCAGCTATTGCATTATTGACTTTAAGGGTTCCAGCAGGTTGCATGGTATTAGTGCTCAACTAAATGTTTTTGAATGAGGTTAATTTGTTCACTTCTTTTTAGCTCCAGTAATCTGATTTCAGAAAGAAAGAGCAAAGTTACAAGCAAGTCTTATATAAATGTCCCTAAGGAACACTATTATATTTTAGCCACCTGTTTGCGAGAGTATATCAGATGGGTCCAACCCATCTGATGCTGCTATCTTCTGTTTACTGATTTATTTGATTTGTATCTCTCCTTCCAGAAAATGACAATAATTATCAAGTGAGTAGTATCAGCAGTAAAACTCATTATAAAACACAAGTGAAAGTGGAGCAGGATGTTGCAGTATGGTACAATTCGGCCAACCATGCTTTCTTGCAGGATAGTCTATTCCATTCAATTCACCCTACAGACACCTAGCATTTTGTGTTCACTGAGCATGCTCAGTCCTTATTGTGCTGTTTCAGGATTGAGTTACTCCTTCTGGATTTTGTTCTAACTTTTGTGGTGCTCATGCAAACCTTGTGCCTATCCTGAATATACTGATAACTCCCTTTTGATTTTTGGTCAACTCATTTTAACTCCATAGCCATTATAACTCAGAATCTCAGTTCAGTATTTGGATAGTTGTTTGATTATGGGTGCTCTACCATATCACAAACAACTTTTAAAGTACTTGATAAAGATCTGAAAGTAGTGCTGAAAGCAGCAGTGTGCAACCTTTGAGCTTTTGATGGCGTTACTCTCACATGATTTTGAAAATGCATTGACAAAGTCACGTGCATGGCTAGAGCATTAGTACTTTGTTTCCAGATATATATGCATTTTGAATGTATTTACATCTGTCCTAAATGACAGCATATATGGTGGTTAATTTTCACTGTGAGCTGTTCAAATAGTATGAACTTCCATAGATAATTTGAAAGTGCTGTTACCTGTCCTAAGCTTCAGGCTAGAGTTGGGTTTTAATTAAAATGCAAATATTCCAGTTCTAAAAGGAATAGGAATGAATAATTAGGCTTGTTCCTTTTCCAACAACCCATGGTCCGTTGGATGGGAACGTTACAGAAGGATCTAACCTAAGACTTGTTCTGCTAAGTTATGAATCCTGCAGTTCTGGGTCCCCTAATAGGAGCAGTGCCTGTTAAACACAGTGACAGTCATTCTCAAAATGCTTTGCATGGATTGGGCTTTACCAACAACAGTGATATAGTTAAGCCCACACATCACAAATATGGTGTAATGCCAACATCAAAATATAAACACTTGTGAAGATAACTAACATACTAAAATTTTGTGACAATGCTACATTCTTGCTTTTGAGCTTGTTTCTTTAGTATTGCAGTTAAGATTTAAAGTCCCTGAATTGTTTGATGAAGACAATGAATTTGACTTGGCATCCTTTTAATCACTGGTAGGCTCTTTCCCAAATACAATAGAAACCATAAGAGGCTCCCATCTATTTCCTTTTCAGAGAGCGTATGAATGTGAGTTTTGCAATACAACCACCTAATGGGTAACTATCAGTTGTTAAAACTTTGGTTTATCTTCAGTATATCTAAAATATCCTTTAATTTGTGCATTGTATTATAGTTAGAAGTCTAGCACCAAATTGAACGATACTAAGCCCAATAGTTATAACACACGACACATGTAAGATAATGTTGTATCATTTTAAAATATACATTAGAAATTGCTTTTAAATACAGTGCAATAGAAGAATGAGAGCCATTTTATTTATAATGCATTACATACTAGCAATAGGTATTTCCCTACTATACGGAGTAACTCAGCTGACAGACTGTAAAATTTCAGCAAAATTTTTCTTGTTTTTCTCATGTTCGAACAAACTATTATAAGCAGTTAAATAGTTTGTACTAAAACATATTTGACTATATCCAGTCAGGACAGTCAGCGCATAGAAAGCTTTTACTGCATGGTTTGGCATTTTGGGTTTGGAACACTGGAAACTGCCATGGGTCCTTCAGGCCCAGCATTTTAACACTCAATGGGAGCACTTGTCTAGGTTTAATGCAGTTTTCCCAGCCCTGCTTGGATGATACTGGTAATTGAAACTGGGATCTGCATGCAAAACATATGCTTTATCCCTTAGCCATGGACCCCTCCTTAGGAGGAAAGCATACTTATCCAGTACCATGGAACAGCTAAACCTGCCACTGCTAATCAGCTTTGGAGGCAAAATTGACAGTTCAGCCATCTGTGTTATGAGGAGCATATTTGTATGCTGCAGCTACTTTGAGGGTTGCTAACAAAAGATTTGAGTTTAGTTTAAGTTTGTCTACTATGCAGTCTAATATACTAAATATTAAATGCCCCAAACCTCCAGGTTTTTTAATGGTATGTGTATCTTTAAGGCCAGTTAGCCTAGAATATCCCTCCTTAAGGCTGAAAGCAATCTGAAAGTGAAACCCATTCTAACTTAATATGGTTGAAATAATGGTGCAGCTTCCTAGTAATAAATAGTATAGCCATTGCTCTTATAGCTAGTTTTTTTAGCTATAACATTTCTATGTGGTATGAAGATGAGATACTGTCATCATAAAATGAATTGGAATTGTGAAATTACAATTATGGAACCACTTTTAACATTTTAGTTAAGGCTTCAGTCCATGGGTTACCTGTCAGTGAAGTTTATGGCAATATATAGAAATTATGGTGTTGAAGTATGTGTTGAAGTATGACTTGAATTGCTTGACATTAATGTAGAATAAACAATGCTAGTTCACTTTCTTTTTCTAAAAATTAGATCACCCTATGAAAAGGTATTGTGTTTTGATGAAACTGTTAAATTCTTTTTCACTCTTAAGAGTTTAAGTTGTTTTTCTGAATAATATAGCTGCATTATCATTAGGGATATTTTGATCTACCTTTTGAAACTATCAGGAAATCTTGTACTCCTACACAATCTTCTATTATTGTTTTCCTGTTATCTCTTCCAATGTGAAATAATTGTGAAACTTAACACTCACCTGGTATTACCTTTCTCTCTATTTTTCCTTGTCCTTCAAGCAGGGCCACCTGATTCTTCTGAAGTCTATGGCTTTTGTTTTGACTTTTTCCTATTCCCTCAAATGTAAATATTTATTTATATCCCACCTTTTTTTCCCCAAGGAACCCAAAGTGGCGCACATCATCCTCTGCATCTCCATTTTATCCTAACAACAGCCTTGTGAGGTAGGTAAGGCTACCAGTTAGTGACTGGCCCAGGGTCACACAATAAACTTCATAGCTGAGTGGGAACTTGAATGCAGATCTCCAGAGTTCCACTACAGTACTACACCACACTGGCGTGATCAGTATCATTGTTACTCTTTGAAATACCAGTCTGTACAGAGGGGTACTGCATCTCTCTAGAAGACTTGCAGCTGAGAGGAAATTCTATCTGGTAACCATTAGACAGAAATGCTTTAAATGGGATTCCTGCATCAAGCTGGAATGGACTGTATAGCTTAACTGGCCCCTTCTAATTCTGTAGTTCTACTACCTCTTCCATTGTGGAGGTAGTAACATCATCACTGCCATTTGGAAACCTCTAACCTAATTCTGACAATGTCAACTTAGAATTATGACTTGCTGCTTTCAAGGAACCTCAGGCTGGGAAGTACTTTGAAGATATGGAATATCACCATCTGAAGACCAGGTGTTCTAGTGTCTGAAGCTACTTATTGATGTTTTCATTCTACCTTGGAATTACAACCAAGTTGATCTGGAGTTTAAATTGCCTCAAAATTGACCATGTTTTTAAAATCACTGGTTCTTTATCAGAATCAACTTTATAAAATCTGTGTACAGTTGAAAACTGAAAGAATATGCTTTTTTTCCCTCTCAAGTTGGAGAGTCTTATCCAATGGATTGTGTTCCTCACTTGGGAACAATTGAGATATTTTATTGGAGTCAGCCAATGGTAGGAGACACCACCTCACTGCTTTCTCCTGGTGTAAACAGAAGAAAATGTGAACACTTTCCCTCCTACCCACCCACACACACTGGAAAAGAATTAACAGGAACAGGATGACAACCAGCTGAAAAATTATGGAGGCTGCTTGTTAAAGTAGGAAACACTTCCACCTCCAGAGGAAGCAGAGGGAGTCATTAGTGCCAAGTTGGCATATTCTGTTTGGTGAGAATCTTGATCAAAGTAATGTCCAAAATCAGAACATCCTTGTGTGGCTAATGTAAGTGCACAGCAACCATTCTTCCAGTGAGGGAATTCTGTCAGGGACCAACTTACTGTTTTCTTGGTCTTCTGCAGTTGCCAGCAACCTACATTTTTTACCAATTAATATGTTGTGAAAATGTACCCTAAGCCTTGTTCTTCAACCATGAAGATTCTTTTCTACTGATGTCCCTGGAAAGAAATGTTTGAAAGTGGAAGACCTCCTTAGGGAACAGGTTACCGTTCCTTTGGGAACCTGTGCCTCCATGCTCTTATACACATCTCCATTACATGCTCTGATACATCATGAGGTGGTAGATGAAAAGCCTTCCTCTGTCTTCTCAGAATTTGATATAATTCTTTAAAAGAAACAAACAGTCCTGTCCCTTATGAAAGGGGACTGTTTTTACACAACAGCCTCAAGAGGATAAGGCATCGGGTTCAAACACTTTTTTCTGGTTGTTGCTAAACTACAAGTTTGAATAAAATGAAAGAAGGGCCGGCACAGTATCTTTAATATGCTGACTGGGTATCTTAGAGCTTTTGGGACCACATGCAGTCAACAGGTCTGGGAACAATGAGACACAAAGGGACTGAGGAGTGCCATGGATTATGTGTAGACCATCTTGGTTCAGTGACAGAACATTGCATGCAGAAGGACCCCAGCTGAATCTGGTACAGCTGGGGAAATTCCTGCCTAGAACTCTTGAAAGCTGCTGCTGCTCATCGTTGGGCTACACAAACTGGTGGTCTGACTCAGTATAAGGCAGTTTCTCATATTCTTACTATGTCTTTCATGTGAATGGATTTAGGTGAAAGCAACTTGATTACTTTGAACTGTAGCTGCCTGACATGTCAATGTGTTAGGTCTGAAAAGTTAGGTGCTCTTGTTGCAAGAGAAGTTAATTGCAACCTGAGCTTGAAGCACATTTTCACCACTTCTGCATCTGACCTGTTAACAGCTTTTCTGTGCCACCTATTTTTTTTCAAAAGAAACATTGTCAGATTCTTGCTTGTTTCCTTTGTTGTTTTGGTTGGAGTTATCCTTATGTGGATCTGAAAATATATATGAAAGTATACAAAGGAAGACACATGTAACCATCAGAACTTGAAGTGGAATTTCTCCCAGCATGGTAGAAATCTTATGCATTAGTGACTTGAGACCATAATTTTATACAAAGAATCTCCATGTAGCTCCTTGTGAAAGTTATTTATAATATCTGGTGTGTCCTCTGGATGATTTTCCCCGTTTTAAGTACACATTTTCTTTTCAGTGTGTCTTTGCAGGTGGTATATACCTGCATCTTCAACCTGATTCATGCATGTTGAATGGACATTTATTTTATCTACCTAGTCTATGTTTGTTAACTGAACTGTGCAAAGATAAGTCCGTAGTGGTAGAAAAAGTGCCTGTGATAGCAGAAATGGCTGATTCCAAGCCTGATTTGAATGCAGTCTTGTTCACATTGGGGTTGATTGGTCTGTGTATCCGTGAGAAGAATTGCATAGAAAAAATAAGCAGAGTATGTGTAAATCAACTTTTTGAGTCAAAGAGAACATACATATGTGTAAGAGGCAAAGTAAGGTTGAGTGCGTGTGTGGAGAAGTCTATATGAATATGAAACTATGCACATATGTAAAAAGGCTATGTGTTCTGGGTGGATATTACGATGAGTTTGAATTAATTAGCCCTTGGAATAGCCACTGGACAATTTTTATCTTCCTTTGCAGCCTTTCAATATTAAAAAATATCTCTTCTCAAGGTGCAGTAGAATGTACCCTGGTGTGCCATCCGGTCTCTCAGCTGTGACTAATGTAAAATATTCTTCAATAGCTTAAAAATCTGAAAACAACCATTTCCCCAATCGCAGAAAGGTTGTTCTGGTTACTTTGGACTTATGTTCTATCCAGAGTACTTATTTGAACAAGTAAAACCATATTTGATATTCAGATATAAATAACTATTTAATCAATATTTGTGACAGCTTCTATCTCCATTTTAACTGTGTGTTTTGTTGGCAATTCCTGCAGCTCTTCATTGTGAGGGTTAAAAAGCAAGTGACTAAGCTAGAAGCCTTTATCACACTTTCTGGCAATAGGATTTAAATAGTCACCACCTGCTTTTATCAAAAGGCCTTTGAGGGTAAGGGTCCTGGAAACTTGCAGGTTGGTATTTTTTAAAAATTTCATTGATCCCCCCTCCCTCCCTAATTTTTTACTACTGCATACCTAGGCTTAAGTGATATCTTTTGAATTCTACAGCTTCCTTTACAAATACTAACCTTCTTTGTGGGTTTTTTCCCTTAGAACATTTGAACTAAATATGATGATTTGACTTTATAAGAATCCTCAGTAACCATGATGGCAACACAGACGTTAAGTATAGACAACTACCAAGATGGACAACAAGTAAGAACTTTTTAAAAAGTGTACTACATTTTAGCAGGTTAAAATCAATTATAAAAAATAATGGTACCCAATACTTGAAACCACTTACATCTTACTATACAATATGCTAGTAGCTCACAAAGGGTGCCTTATTTATTGACAATTTATCTTCTAATACTGTTTGTAGAAAGCTAATCAGGAAGCAGTTGAATTTTCAGAAAAATAAAAACCTTTAGACTTTGAGGATTGACTTGAAAACATAAGCTGCCTAATGCCGGATCAGAATATTTGTCCACCTATTTCAGTGCTGCTCACTCTGACAGTGCCTCTCTAGGGTCTCAGACAAAGAAACATGTTCTACTTCACCTGTTGCTTGGACATTTTAACAAGCATGTTATGCTGGGGCAAGCTGCAGGCAAAGCATCCAGTGCACCTTGCAATGAGCTATGCTCCTTCCTCAAACTTGCTGAACAAAGGGTGCAGTCCTCTACCTATTTACACAGAGAAAAGTCCTACAATACCCAGCATGCCCCAGCCAGCCAAACTGATTGGAGAAAGCTGGGAATTGTAGGAGTCATTCTGTCAAAATATGCATGGGATTGCACCCAAAGTTTTGCTTTTGTTTCTGTTTATTTCATCCTAAATATGAATATCTTTGCCATCTGCATGTTGTTTTACCCCATGATTTGTTTTGCTTCACTCATGAAATTCATTTTGTGCACACACTTGATACCATTGTTTTTTTTGGGTAGCCCCTGTTCCCTGTTGCTAGCAGGATAAAACCTTGAACTTCCTTGCAAGATGACAATGTGAATATTCTGTTCCATTTTTATTGACTGACCTAATACCTCCTGGGTTGACGCACAATACCTATCTTATCAATTTGGATATTTGGTCCTTTCTGAAGTGGGAGTAGAGATGGGTGCAAAACATTTTGCTTCACTTATCTAAAAGCACAAAACATTGGGCTTTTGGAGCCATTGCATAAATACTGTTATCATAGTTCATCCTGTTTGTCTGCTTTGCTGCAAGGATTTTCAGGCATCTGATGTTGTACCTAAGTTGCCTTTTTTAAAATTCAAATTCCTTATCAGTTGTTTAAATCAGATATTGTGACCCTGGGCTCAGGGAGGAAAAAACAAAACATTTTCAGTTTATCTTGCCCAGTGCCAACTAAATTGTATTCTTTAAGCCACCCCAAACTCACCAGATTCCTCTCCCTGACCATTCTAAACTTGCTTCTAGCTCCCATAGGTATACTCTTCATACTGCCTAGGGATGCCGATCTATGCATGAAAAAGGCTTGTATCTCCCAGAGTTCCCCAGCCAGGATGACTGACTGGTGCATTCTGAGACTTACAGGATTTATTTCTTTCTAAACATGCAAAGATTTTTTTAAATTCAGGTTGCAACCTCATTACCACTAGCTTTGTTGTGATAACAATAGTTTATTTTTCACAATGACTTTTAAACCAAATGTGTGTGAGTTTAAACTGTACAGAAGAGGCCATAAAGCAATGAAAGTCGAAGGGATGTGTGTGAATACTTCTGTAAGTCACTATAGCTCAGTTCTAGGAGTACTGACAGAGTACTGTCTTTGTACCAGCGTGGCTACTTTTATTTTCCATATTCTCATTTTAAGATACTGGAATTAATTTCTAAATGCTAAGGACACAAGTCAGATGTTACCTGAAGCATTGAATATAGTAATCATAATGGGTGACACTGGTTCCTAAATCAGGAGTCTTCCACCTCCCTTTTCTCTGTGTGCTCCTTTCTGCAGTCTGTGGACATGGTAGGGATGGGTCAGTGACAGTGCCTGACAATCAGCTTTGCATTGGTGTATGGTTTTATTTGAATAGGCTATGCATTTATACCATCTCTCCCCAGTCCCGTCCCTGTCTCCACCTAAATGGTATTTGTGTAAGATCTTGCTTGGAGCAACTGCAGCAATGCCACAGTGCTTATACTTTAATCTGTCCACTTCTTGCCTTGTTAGGCAAACCCAAGCATCAGATATGATGGCTACTTGTTTTTCTATATGAAGAGAGCCTTATCATGTTAAAATTGTATTGTTTTGAAATTCCATCTAGCATATTTTTAACTTAAATGTAGAAACTGTGGTGTTTTTTTTTTTTTACTTTTAAACTGGAAAATTTATTCCTAAATTGTATAAACTTACATGATTGCTTACATTTAGGTGAAACTGTGAAAGGTATTAGACTCCTGACTAATGGTGTTTTTGAGGGAGTTTATTTCATTTATATATGATTTTTAAACAAATTATTGGATGCAGTTTCCAGAGAGTTCTGCTTAGAGTGTTATAATATGCATGGAAAAGGAAAGGAATGGAAGGTAGCTGATGTTTTCAAGGTTTGTTTTCCAAATAGTTTTTTTGGAGCAGTGTATGCATAGCTTTATCCAAAAATAGCTGTTTCTGAAATACAGCATTTTTCAAAAGACAATTTATTAAAAGAAACCAACTAATAGGAACCAATCTTCTAGTGACCTTTCCACTGTCTTCCCCGCCTCCAAATGTTGCAAGGATTAAATAAGTTTTTTGTTAACTGCTTATACTTTTTTGTATAGTTGCCAAGTCATACCAACTTTCTGGCAACCTATTAGGCTTTTGCCTTTCACTTTGCTTAGAAAATAGTCCATTTAGTAGTGAATCTATGCAGTTGGCAATATAAAGCATCCTTCTTTTCCAGCAGATGCAAGTAGTAACAGAATTAAAAACTGAGCAGGACCCAAACTGCTTGGAAGCAGATGCAGGAGGATTGAGCCCTTCCCCAGTAGAGTCCCAGACACCGATGGATGCGGACAAGCAGGCTATTTACAGGTAGCAGTGTTGAGCAGATAAGCAATTCAAATAAATTATATTATTCTCTATTGTAAGTAGAGCAGCTATTTGTAAACTCTGGGATGGAGCCCCCAGCGGGATGGAGGAACTATTCATACACATTCATAAAGTGCAGGGAGGAGGAGATTCTGATGCACATGTTGCCTTTCGCTCCTCATGAGCCAAGTTGTGGTGGGATGAATGATCTTTAGAAGATTCTCATTCAGTTTGTGTGGGAGATTCTATCCCAATCACTGTGTCACCCTATTCTGACTAACATGGGGCGACTGCTACTTTGTTCTAATGGGGTTTTCCTTTGTGTGGTTTTAGGAGGGGTCAATTTCCCTTACTAATGCAAGTATTGAATTAGTGCCCAGTTCACAGTGTGTTGCATAGAGCTTCTGCTACACACAATATGACTGTATGTAAAGATCTGATGCTTTCTGCTGTGGGATAGATAAGTTGGTGCTGGGTTAAGGGAATTCGTGGCAGAGAAGAAGGGGCCTATACCTGAGAAACACTGAAGTAAAGTCAGCTTCTGTAAGCATACTGTGAACTTTACATATCTTAAGTTTTCTGTTTACATTGGGATCATGAATATGTATGTTTAGCAGCTTCATTTTGTCAGTAGATGGCAATCCTCTGCACTCTTTACTGACAAAGGAGTACATCCTATTGAAAACAGTAGGACTTACTACTGAATGAGCAAGCATAGGATTGCCTTGTGGAGCTTGAGTAAACATAGGTACCCAGGATTATGTGCTTTGCCTCAGACCAAGACTTTCTACTGGCTTCATATTGAATTTCTTATATATGCAGAAGTTCTTTATGTTAAATCTGTATTGTGTATAAGAAAACTTAGGGCTCAAACCCATCAGTCTCACTAGTAACAAATGGTGGGGTGACAACAGTAGGCAAATTTGACCTGTATAATTTGGCTTTATATTTTTAGTTTAGCCATATTTGAAAAATGGTAAAGATTAAAGCCAGTAAGAGAGATTCCTTATCGTTCCTAATTACTTGCATTTAGTTCCACATGCAGATTATTTTATTGTAGATATTCAACGTCTAAAGTGTTGGCTATTTTTCATCAAGCTGATTTACACATAGAAGTGTTTACAGAGTTTGCTCATTCTTTCTGCTTTTGGTCCTAGACATCCACTGTTTCCTTTATTAGCACTGTTGTTTGAAAAATGTGAACAATCTACACAGGGATCAGAAGGCACAACATCTGCAAGCTTTGATGTAGATATTGAAAACTTTGTTAGGAAACAGGAGAAGGAAGGAAAGCCCTTTTTTTGTGAAGATCCAGAAGCTGATAATTTAGTAAGTAAACGTATTTGAATGGTGCGGGGAGTGGAGGCATGCATATATTTTCAGCTCCTGTTGGAATGTTTATTACAACTTTCCATTCAGGAAAAAAACTAACAGAGGCAAAGCTAAATTGTGAATTTCAACAGAAAAATAATGGTGGAAATGTATGGTTTTTAGTCTTTCTTTTTCCCCCTAGCATTTGCCCATTACATTTAACATATTCTAATTCTTTGTAGCACAGAATTTGAGCAGAGTATTCCTTCTGTTTCTCCTTGTTTCCTGGATATTGGAGGTTATTTCAGACTCTAGGCATGTCATCCAAAACTCAGCCTGATAATTTCAAATATCTTTTAAAATAATCAAGAGGCTGAATCAGTTCAAAGGCCTTCCTAGTTCAGCATTCTGTTCACACAGTGGTCAGCTGGATGCCTGTAGGAAGCTGAGCAGCAGGACATGAGTGCGATAGTACTCTCCTGCTTGCAGGCCCTGGTTACTGATATTCAGACACATACTATCCATGATACTGGAAGGTAACACAGAGCCATCATGTCCAGCAGCCATTGTTAGTCTTGTCCTCCATTAATAAACTCTTGTACTTTTTAAAAGCCAAGTTTGTTGTTGTGTTACATTTTATGGTAACAAACTCCATCATTTAGCTTTGCATTGTATAGAGAACTGTTTCCTTTTATCAGTCCTGAATCACCCACCATTCAGCTTCCTTGAATGACACTGAATTCTAGAATTATATGAGAGGGAGAAATTATGTTGCAAATGCTTCAGTTATTAAAAATCATTCAAGTACTATGCAGTTGTCTTTCATTAGAACTTGCATAGCAGACTGTGGGAAGTGTACACCTACAAAAACAATTACACAGCATCAATGTATGATCCTCTTTAGTGCCAGCATGACTGACAAACTTCCAAAATGCTTCACTTTCTCTGTAGAAGTTGATGTTTCTCTGTCAGTGATACTAACAGTAGCTCCTCCATATAGCAGATTCTCACAAGTCTTTTTTTTTTTTACATAGTTGTTGGTTAATCTATTTGTCTTATCAGATTCTTTTGCTATGTCTGTACTTTTTCCACTGAAGCAGATTTTCTCACTGTTAAGGGTGTGTGTTTGTTTTGTATTTCATTTCTGCTTATCCCTCCCCTTTTTTAGAAGTCTGTGGCTGTGTTTAGATTGTGCTGCATTGCAATTTTTTATTTCATAACTGTTAGTTACTCTGAGATTTCTAATTGAAATGAAAAAGGAAGATCCATTTTATAGATAAATAAGACAAATTATCAAAAGGTTACCTTTGTGCCAAATATATTGTTATATTTGAATTTACACTTATGGATTGCACATATTTCCATTGCTGATCCAGTTAAATATTTATCATAAGAAGTTAGAAAGGGTAAAGAAATCTCAGCACATTTAGTATTGGAACTGGCACCTTTCCATAGGAACCAAAGTTGAAATGATGTGGGGGAACAGGAGGGTTGCTTTGCACATGTTAATTCATTTACACCAGTTGCATGTGAAAGGAAAAGAGCTGTGGTTGGTTGAAGATTTTTAATATGATATAAATGTCATGTGCAAATATTTATGAACTTTTTCTAACCTTGCTTCACAGTCATTTATTTCTTCCTCATTTAGATGGTAAAGGCTATTCAGGTTCTGCGAATTCATCTGCTTGAGCTAGAAAAAGTTAATGAGCTCTGTAAGGATTTCTGTAGTCGCTATATTGCATGTCTGAAAACTAAAATGAATAGTGAAACTCTGCTGAGTGGAGAATCTGGCAGCCCTTATTCACCTGTACAACCCCAGGTACCGTTCATGCTGAAATATATTTTCTGTTTGTTTTATAACCTACCCTATCTCATAGGGCTCAGGATAGGTAAGAGTAGATTTTTAAAGATGTAATGATAAATAGCATGTTAATAGCTTGGTTAAATTTGTAAGTCATGCAATTTACAAATAGATGATATGTGACTGGCAAACAAGCAGTTTTTAAGGATTTGTGATATTGTTGAGGTTACCAAGTTTCCCTTGTGCAGTTTCTTAGTCATCGGGTACATGGAAATGTAATTCTTTAAGAATGACCATAATTTGTCAACTCTTTGTCTGCAGTCCAGCAACTTTAAACATGATAAAGATAGCTTGGATTTGCTGGAGCAGCTGTCTTCATGGAAACAGTCACCAGAAAATGTGAGCAGTAGAGCAAAATTGACACAATTATCATTGCACCTCTTTGGCACTATCTTCTTAGCCTAATTTTTGGGTTGGCTTTGTTCATCTCATTGTAGATAATTGCCTCATCCAAGTGAGAGGTGATCTGTATGGAGATCAAAGGTTCTTTGATTGCTAAAACACAAGGTTTAGGACATGAAGTCCTTTGAGTCCAGTAGCATGGATTGTATGTATGTAGGAATCCAGTGGAAAGATCCATATGGAGAGCAGAAGGCTGTGTGTCTGCTGCTTCAGTCATGAAATACCCCCTCTCTTGGCAACCTTGTTAGGAGGGGAAATATAAGAACATACAAAGCTGTTTATACAGAACCATAGAGGGGTTCTCTCAGTATTGTCTGTTGTAGTGGGGTAGCAACTCTTCAAGGTCTCAGGCATGGCTACCAAAGATCCTTCAATTTTAGAATGTGTATTCCACCATTAAGCTATGGGCCCTTCTCCCATGCATCACATCTGTAATACTTGAAAAAAATATGTCCCAATTAGCTGCTGAATTACTTCTTGAAGTAACAGAAGTTGGCTACTTTCACCTTCATAACCACTAAGAGTTCTCCTAGAAGTCAGTCATACAACATGTACTCACCAGTTCCATAATATAAACTTAAACAGCATGAAATATTGCCATATTTTTTTCAAAATAGAGATGATTTATTTGTTGTTTCATTGCACCCTTCATGCCAGCCCTGTGTCAGTGTACTAATTGTAAATTGCATTCCTGTCATCCAGGTGCTTGATTATCTGAGTGTTTGGATGATGCCTTTATAATTTAGATACATGTTTTAAATCTGAAGTTTGCAATCATCTTTAAATTGCAAATTTGAGAGAATTAGAAGGATAGCTTTTGTGTAGAAAACTATAAATCTTTAATCTTGATTTTTCATGGGCTAAGATTTCACAAACAATGATACAGGTTTTAATGTATCTTCTGAATGTATTTGTGGTTTCTTTGTCGCTTATTTTCCTGTTCATGTATACTCTGAATAAGTCTCATTGAGTTCAATGAGACTTATTTCTAGGACAGTATATATAGGTTTTCAGCCATATGCTTACTTATATCCCATTTTTAAAAACATTTGGAGATATAGCCAGGTTAAATATTTAGTCCATTGACGAATCTCACAAGCTTTCATACTAATTTAAGCTCTTTGATTCCATTAGGATGAGATTAGTCCAGTACCATGTGATGAAAGCACTGAGTTAAATATCATCCAAAATTCACATACCTGATCTGTAGCCAGCATTTGGGAAACAGGAAAGTCAGCATTTGGGAAACAAAACACAACATTGTTAAAGTGACATTCTTGGTTATTTAGTCTTTTAATTGAATTTTCATCTCATATAAGTTACATGACTGGCTTTGCTTATATTGGCTGGTAGTAATATCATCATCCTCATCCTCATCATGTGGTTTCCCTTTTTTATTCTCTCATTTGTCACTGATGCAGCTAAAATGATGGGAACATCCTTCATTATAAGACTATGTAATTTTTGTTGTTGTTACTGTTTCTAGCCAATTCAAAGTGCCATCACAGGTACACTAAGTCCCCAGGGGATTATGGTGCCTGCATCAGCATTGCAGCAGGGAAATGTAACTATGGCAACTGTTGCAGGTAGGACATACTAAAGAAAAAAAAACTCCATCATAGACATTAGTTGTGGCAAGAAGTAACTAAAGCTGGAAGTTTTAGATGATGGATTTGCTTGCTTGCTTATTTGATTATTACATTTGTTATGCATCATCCAAAGAGCTTTGGTATTGAGTAGTATAGAAATGAAAATGGTAACAATAATAATAGTAAGCCAGTGTAATGATTAGAGTGCAGGACTGGAACTCAAGCAATCTGGGTTGTAGTCCACACTCAGCCATGCAGCCAGCTGGGTGATTTTATGCCAGTCACAGACTCCTACAATGGGTTCTTGTGAGGAGAAGAAGAATTATATAAGTTGCCTTGAGTTCCTCAAGGAAAAAAGGCAGAATATAAATAAAATAAGCAATAAAACTGCCTTTTTAATGTAGTCAAGGCAGTTAACAATTTAAAACAGTGGACTTAAACAGACATTGTAAAGGAACAGAGAAATGTGGAAAATAAGCCAATACAAATTATTTTATAATGTAAGATAATCATATGGCCCATCCTGAATGATGGAGGACATTTCTGGGAAGGAAGAAGCCAAATAGCAGTAGATTCCAGGTGACAAAGCAGGACTTGCCGCCTTGCACCTTTCTGGTGGAAAAACTGTGTTAAAACATGGGACCAGTTTGTAGGGGTGTATGGAGCTCCCATTTTGCATATGCAATCCCTGCTCTGGGATTTTTGTGTTTTGTGAACCTGGCTGGCATGCATAAAGGGAGGGTTGAACAAGCCTTGTAGAATGCCAGAACAGAACAAAGGTTGTATGACGCTTGCTTGCTGGGTTTCTGTGATTCAAAATTCCAAGTGCCCAGGCTGGATAAGAGAAGTGGTGCCTGCAAGCACAGCAGACCATCATGGGTTAAATATTCCATGACAAGCTGTGCTGTGTCATCTGAACCAGGTCAGTGTTATTTTAGATAAATTATTATTTAGCTTAACAATTCCCACATGTTCTACAAGAAGGTGTCATGGCATATTTATAGTAATAACTATATATGTCAGCTGATATATTTCACATGATTCTGGGAGAATTTAATATACAATCTGTTACTGAAAATTAAAAGTCTTGGCTGTGATTCAGGGAAATGAAATACTTGTCAGAGAAAAGATGCATTAGTGGAATGCTGTTTGCCTTATGTAAAGGGTAGCCATCAATTTAAAACGCTTTTATATATTTTGTAGAATAATATGTGAACTAACAAGATAAATGAAGTAGAATTTAATTATGCAAAGTTTCTAACATTAAAAAGCTGAATACCAAATAAAATATAGGAAATATTTTTAGCTGGATTTCTGCTTAAATAATGATAACATTTTAGTAAAGTTAAGGGATTGTTGGCAATATGTTTGTGCCTCCTGCATTTGAAAAATAAGTGTGATCAGTTAAGTAAATAAACCTGTTACTTTGTTTAATGATAACTACATAAGCATACATTGCCATGCTGTCACTTACTACTGTTTCTCTACAGTAGTAGACTTTTTAAAAATTATTTTTTAGGTGGTACAGTCTATCAACCGGTGACCGTGGTCACACCTCAAGGTCAAGTAGTGACACAAACATTATCACCTGGAACCATCAGGATCCAGAACTCTCAGGTTTGTTTTATATACTTCGCAGAATGATTCGGTGTTAGGGGAATGATAATGGTATTTTCGACAGTATGGAAATGATAAATTGATATTCAAGCATTCATAGATGCATTGAAATATTTTAACTATAGAACTAGTAGTTTGAATTCTACTAGTGGAAGGCAGTTTGGGAAAGAGGACTTTGTCATTCCTCCTCTCCACTACAGACCCATGTCCCCACAGAAAGCCTCAGGTGTCTCACATCCTCCATCCTACTCCTTGGAAATCCACAAGAATGATTTGGGATGGAGGGTGGGAGGCTGCTGAGCTGCGTGAGGGAAAAGCTGATCCAAACTGAGTGGAGGCACATTGTGTAAGGGTGCTACCACTTCTTTTGGTCAATTACTCTCCCACCCGCCCCTCACACCCTATTCTAGAGCGTTATTCTCTCCTTCCTTGCGCCAATCACAACCATGTTTTCTTTTACTGGTCTTCTTTTCTTTCTTTCTTTTTTGTTTGTTTGTTTTCTGGAGTCCTGTTTTGCTGCCAGTTACAAGTGCCCAAGCAGCACTTAAGAGTGGTGGTCAATGCCTCATTATTTCTTCTTCAAAAAAAAATCAGGGGGAAGAAATGTGTGCAATTGAGACTATAGGGGTTTTTAATTTTTTTTTCCAGTCTTGCACAGGTACACACTTACGGCTGCCTGAAATGTGGAGTCTTGCCTGGCCAATGTCCTGGTAAGTGTCTGCCGTCAAAGTGCAGTAAGTAACATCCATGGACATTGACCAAGTGAGGCTGCATATAGTTTATTTTGCACACATTTGACAGCTGTCAGTTGGCAAGCTGTCAGTTGAAAAGCAAAGTGGCAAAGGGTTTTTGCCCTAAAAGGGACAGTGAGTGTTTCTCCCCCTTTTTGATAGATCTTCTAGTTTTTACATATTGCTCTGACAGAACTCAGCACTCTGCACCTTTTCCATACTGCACCAAGCCTCTAGGTACTCCAGAACCTAAAGATGAGTTCTTTTTTCTTTTCCTTTTCTTTTTTAAGTTTATCTGGAAAATGTGACCTTTTCTCTTTCCAGACAAGGAAATACATGCCAGGGTGGCTTGTTGTCCTTGCAAGAAGTGGTCCAAGTTTGCATGACACAATGACCTACTGTGACTTACAGGGTAGCTTAGCATAGCAGGCAAATGCAATCAGTGTGTCTGCAATTTGGGGGTCATATGTTTGTATGCTCTTTCAGTATAAAATTCCCTGCACACAGAAAATTATTAGTGAAAACAGGTTAGAACTCATTCTATTGACATACTAATTTTTCATGAACACTATGTTTCTGATCTGGGTAAATATCCAAACATGCATTGCTCTGTATGCTTTCTGGAATGGTCCATGTGCTGACCCACTCTAAATTACAAATCTTACTAGTGTCATTGCTGCTTTTTCTTATTTTTTGCTCCATAAACTATGTTTGTGAAAAATTAAGGATTGTATGGTGTTTTAGTAATCGTGTGCCACTTGTCAATCTGTGTACAGCTCCAGTTACAGTTAAACCAAGATTTAAGCATCTTGCATCAAGATGATGGGTCATCCAAAAATAAAAGAGGAGTACTTCCAAAGCATGCTACAAATGTAATGAGGTCTTGGCTTTTCCAGCACATAGGGGTAAGACTTGATTATAGTGGTTGGTAAACAGTTATGTTCCACTGGTATATTTTTAATTGCTGAATGAGAAAGGACATAATTTTTGCCATACCCAAAATTGTTTTAGTTCCTACAGACTTCCTGAAAATATTTTGAATTGATTCCTCATACTTTACTCAGGCCCAGATTAGGTAAGTGTTTGTTATAAAACTTTATATCATTATTTTTGGTTTTATTTCATTATGCCAAGGACATTTTCTTATCATGTCCTCCCTTGATAAGTAAAGATTTAAATATCTTTACATAAAGATATTTAAATCTTTATCAAAATACATTCTATGTGGATGGAAGACATTCACTCTGCTACATCAAGAGTAGTTTGTCTGCAGAAGCAGAACTCTTTGAATAGATTTTTTCACTGAACATACTCTGCACCTACAAAGGGAGCAATGTGTACAGTTGTTAGCTTAGGGCAATGCATGCATCCTGTGATGGTTGTATGTATAATCAGCTTATTCATGTCCTTTAAGATCATGCATTCCGCCAGAGGTTCTCTGCTTCACATATAAACTGTATGACTATATAATTCAGTCCATGGATTATATATTGACAGTTGTTGTGGGGGTTGGGAGGGAAGAGGGAGGGTTGCTTCTACTATTTGTTATATCCACAGTCAAATGATACTTAAGATGAAGTTTGAAGCAAAATTATATTGCCTAGGCAGAAATTATTAAGCTTTATTTATTGATTTTAAACTGACCAGGCTGTTTCCACTATTTTTTGTATTTTATGTATTTATATGTGGGATTTTAATGATTGTAAGCCGCCCAAGGCTTATGCGAAGGGGGCGGCATATAAGTTGTCTAAATAAATAAATATGATTATGTTTATTAATATACCCTGATTGAGCAATATGCATACCAAAGTACCAGTGCTGGGACTTCATTGAATGTTGTTAAAATGGGTCAGACAGTCTACATGTCCAGAATATATATGGATCTGTACTATTTTTTTTTTTGTTAGAGATTTATAAGCAAAGGTTGGATGATCCGTAACAGCAGGTTTCCTGCATCAGCAAGGGATTGGATTAGATGACAATGGAGATCCCTTCCGTGTTAATTCCTAATAGTCCCTGATGAGTCATTAATCTTACTGTAATTAGAGATGGGGAAGAATTTAGCTGGGCTCTGGTTTTAATATGAGTGAAGTAGCCAAGTTGGTCTGTTTCAGAAAACGGTTTGTTTAGGTGTCATAAAACTTCCTGTTGCTTTAAGATGCAGACCTAATTTGCAGCTTCTAGACTTGTACATGAATTAGAATATAATTAGGATTCATTTTTCATGCTATGCTAAATTTTGTGATGCAATTCTTCAATAAAAAAGTATACATTCAGAAAAATGCATCCTGCAACGCATGCATTTTTTTTATTGTAAGCCACCTAGAGAATGTTGTTATGTGATGTCATACAAATGTTATAAGTAAAATAAGTACAGTAGGGAAAATGCATACAGTAAGAAAACTAGGTTCCAAACACTTAATATTTTTAATGCTGATTTTTAACCAAAATATTTGCAAACTAAGGGAGAACCTAGACTGAACAAACCTGTGTTCCAAAAAAAGAGACAGATCTGCCAATCAATCAATCAATCAATCATATTGTGCAATCATAGACCCTCCCAAAAAACTCATAGTAACATTAAAAATGATTAAAAACAAAAATGATTAAAAATATTTTAAATACTGATCAAAAAGTCCTTTCTGGGTAATCACTCATTACAGGATTAAGCAATCTCATACGTTCATCCCTGTAAAAATTGCATACGAAAAAGATACACTCCAGAGTTTCACTTTCTATATTATTACAGGGGCATAGTCGATTTTTATATGGCGCACCAGAATAATGCCCATCTAAAACTGCAGATGGAAGGCAATTAAATCTCTTGAAAAGACTTGCTGATATTTGGAATGGTCAAATTTTCCAAATACCTAGCACTTTGGAGAAATTTGAAATTTAGACCAAAATGCAGAGGTGAACAGGTCTTGCGAACTGTTGACATGGAATATTAAAAATCAGTATCCCTAATCCACTTTTCTAGAATAGACTCAACTGCCTTGAACTCATGGATATGAACAAAAAATCCACAGATAGACCTGATAGATGCAATTTAGTAAGTAGGGTCTTAAACCAGGAACAAATGTAAACATCTTTCTGTGAAAGGTGTAGATATTCTACAGAGGTGTCAGCAAATAACATTTTAATCCAGTACGTGAAAGCATGTACCTGGGCAGTGCATTCTAATGATGAAACACCTGTCTCAAGCTGTAAGCCTGCTGCAGAAACATCTCTTAGCATTCCAAAGATAGATGTTAAGAATGTTGTGAGAACACTCTCAATATTTGAGTGAAATCCTAGAATCCAAGTTGGTATTCCATACAGGAGTTGAGGTAAGGCCTTAGACTTAAATACCTGAATGGCAGCAGGTATAAATTGACTCTCCCCGTCCCCAGAAAAGAAAAAAACTAGAAATGGCCTTAATGGTATTCTATGGCAGCCCAGGAATGATTGTGATGAAACCTAATGCCCAAATATTTAAAGTGTTTGCCTTGATTATCCACTTTTTAATGCTACATGCTGATGAATACCATGATTTTTGTTTTACTAACATTTATACTCAACTGATTGTTCTTGTAATAGGTTGTAAGTGCATGCATTAGGCATTTAAGTCCTATTTTTGATAATGGCAACAGACAGCATAATCTGCATACAACAGTAGGAGACATTTGGCCTCTGCCAAGCTAGATGAATGGAAATCTGGCGCAAGACAACACCCAATCAGATCATTTAAATAGGGAGTGAATAATATGGGGGCTAGTATGCAACCTTGGCAAACACCGTTAGTGCCAGAAATAGATTTTTGTGAGATTCCCTTCTGTCCTGCATCTTCCATGGAGCATGGTACTCTGGTAGAGGCATTTGATAAGATTGCCCAAAGTGTTGTATAATGCAGAGAGAGAGAGAAACACGCATGTGTGCGCATGCGCGTGAGCTCACACACATACACACACTACACTCATTCCCTATCTGATAAACCAGAACTGCAAATTGGTCAGAGATAGCAGTAAATATTGAACTTCCAGCTATCATTGCTGGAAAGGCATGACTAAATTTTCAATGAAAATTCTAAAGAAAAAAGAGATTTGTTATTAAAGCTTCAAATTTTATCTATTTCATAAATGGAATTAATATAACACCATAAAGTTTTGAATTTTGAAGAAGAAGAGAAATTTGATCACTCAAATGATAGAGCACTCATGGAATAACTGCTTTCCATAGCAGTCTCTTTCAGTTGCTTATCTGCACAGAAAAGGATTTTTGGAACTGGTGTCAGGCAGAATGGGAAATTAGAGTTCCTGTGCACTGTTGATTATTGTACTTGCTTATTTAAATTGATTGCTACTAGTAGAGAGAACGAGCTAATTTTTGATACCAGTGAGAAAATTAATTGTGCTAGAATGGAAATCTGCATTAACTGGGGTGGGGGGGGGGACCCTGCCCCTGTTTGCATAGAATTTTAGCCTCTGATATGGATTCTGACTCAGAGGGAAAGCTATATTGAGAGGCCCAGCCATGACTACCTAGCCTGTCTTTGGCTATGGGGTGGCATACAAATGCAATCAATCCATGAATCAATTCATTTCTGCCAGACCTTCCACTGCAGAGTGAACAGGAAGGGGGTGAGCTGCAGGCTCATATGGCCAGTCTTCCACTTGGCCTTGAGGCGGGCTGCTGCTTCTCAGCCAGGGACAGGATTGCTGGGAACAAGGCAACAGAAGGAGGTCTCTGTGGGAGAGGGTACTTTTTAAAAAATATATATTTTTAATTTTCTTAACCTATACATAGAAGAAAATGTAAAATAGAAGGAGAAACTTGTGTGAACAGAACAAACTAAAGTGAACAAAATAAACAACTTTGCCAAGGGGATTTAAACAATAATAGCTTATGTATTACAACCCCCAAAACTATCTTCCTATCTTCCCACGCTGTATGAGAGTTTACAGAAAAGCAATCAGTATTCTGTACATCAACAGATTTTCTAACGAGCACAAATTTTACTATTTCCTTTTTCTTTTCCAAACTCCCCTGAACCTCGATTAGTCATGCTAAGCACAATAAAAATTTCAATTTGTCATTAAATTCTTCTTCTATTTACATAGTTAGTTAACTTTGCCATTACTGCATATGCTAAACTATTTCTCCATTCTTCAGTGGTTGGGGGCTTCAGTGATTTCCATTTAGAAGCTATTGTGATTCTTGCTGCCCTAGTCATATACTTAAATAACTCTGACATGTTTTTCAAAAGGGTCTCTGGGATGATATTCAAAAGCATGTTCTTGGGACCTATAGGAAACTTCATTTTAAAGATGTTCTGCATTTCTGCATGTATCAGTTTCCAGATTTTTTGTATTATTTTGCAAGTCTACCACTTATGATAGAGAGACCTATCCACCCTGTTACATTTCCAACATTTTCCATTGTAATTCTTACCTATTTTCCCAATATCTTTTGGACTGATATACCATCAATAAAACATCTTACACCAATTTTCTCTTAATGCTTGACTAGCGGTAAATTTAATAACTTTCTTCCAGAAAGCTTCCCATTGACTTAGTGATATTTCTTCACCAAGATTCTGTTTCCAGATTGTCCTATGTTTCTTGTCTTGATAGCTTTCAGTATCATAGTGTAGTAACAATTTGTAAAGACTTCCCAATAGATTATCATTCTGGTGCATAATCAACTTTTCAAAATCTGTCAGATCTCTTAAGATACCTTCTCCTGATTGCATTTCCCCCTTCAGTCTTGAAATCAAATGATGATAAACAAGCCACTGTATATTTTTCCCTTCATCTTTCACTTGTTGCCAAGCTTTAACTTGTCCTGATTGACCAATAGTGTCTTGGTAAGTTATAAGATCGTTATTCCCCCTTGTGTGTTCTCCATTTTTTTCATCTGGAGATATCAGTGGGCAGAGTGGAAGACTATTTTTTTTTTCCTCGTAGAACACCAGATTTTTATTAAACTATCTCTTGGCACACAGTTGTTATTTAGGATCAGAGCCTTAACTGATGTCTTAGCCCATAAATATTGTGTATTCTGTCTTCAAGATTAGCCAGTTCCAACTTCACTTGCCTGTCATTGGCATTTAGGATCCAATCTGCAATATAGACCAGACCTGTTGCATAATAGTATAACTTCAAATTAGGTATTGCAAGTCCTCCTCTCTCCTTTGCATCCTGAAGAATTGTAAATCTGATCCTTGGTGGGAGAGGGTGTTTCAGGGGACTTTCCTTTGGTCTGTAGTCAGCAAAAGAGTGCAGGGCAGAAATACCCAAACATAGCAAGCATTTGAGGGGTGGGTTTCCCTGCCAGGATGGAATGGCAAATGCTGATCCTTAGCAGCCAGTTCTCTTGAATTTAAACTTGCATAGTTTCAAGTAGCCCTTACAGGAGACAGCATGCCAAAAACCTGGAAAGCTCCCCATCTTCTTTGGAACTAGGAGATTTGTAGGATTTACTTAAGAAGCTGCACATTGCAGATTTACATTTTGCTCATGATTTCTCTGACTGGACTTTTTACCCAGGACTTTGTTTAAGTGCTTCTCTTGATCTTTATTGCCTCTGTGGAAGCTGACAATTTATTACTTGAATTACTGCAATAAAAGGTTTTATTGGGATTTTTGTGTTCACTTTGGGAAGCCAGGTTGGGACATTATCTTCGCTTCATCACTAGGTTAATAAATCATGGTCTGTAACTGGTGTCATAAAACTAACATATTGCATTAAATACAAACAAGGGAAGTTGCAATCCGCTTATATATTTCAAACTGTGAGAGGCATCTTGGGGCAGGGGGAAATCACTTAAGAACTTTTTTGTGTGATATCAACTCTCTGCTTTTTAATGCTAAATTGTATTTTTCTTCTATAGTAGTGGATTTTTGTGTTTAGATTGTGGATCTAAGTTCCATAAAATAAAAGCAAAAAGCAAAATTGAAGTTTATTTATATTTTTATTCCTGCCTGTAGCATCCATATCCAACAGAAGATGAGAAAAAACAGATAGCAGCACAAACAAATCTTACATTACTTCAGGTTAACAACTGGTAAGCGAAAATAAACTTGACTGCTTACAATATTTCACCTCTATAAAAAGCCACATAGAAATAAATTCAGGATATTAGTTTACACATATTTGCTGTTCAAAGCAAACAAAAAACAAAAAAAAAGTGATTAATTGTTGCACCTTTTGCCGTTACAAGTCTTGGTGATGCTATACTATAGGTGTAGTCCTGTCCACGTTGAGAGGAGTAGGGATTGCGAGATGATCTTGTAATTTCAAAATATGACCAGAGAGAGAGAGAGAGAGAGAGAGAGAGAGAGAGAGAGAGAGAGATTTCTATTGAATGATAGCAGAGAAGTGAATTGTAAAAAACTGGAGGAATGAAATAGTTGGGCTCATGTGTAGAACTTATCCTAGATCATAAATTGTAGTGAGTCACAGCCTGTTTGGGGATGGGAGACCTAATCTGAAAACCTGTAGTTTTATAGTGGTGGGAACAGAGTAGAGAGAAAGAAAAACAAACTGAGAAGTTATTAGAAAATAAAAGTTGCTATTGCTTTAGGAGAGTCTTCTGAAATTAAACAATTCTTGTCCTTTTCCCGTTGTTAAGTCTCTCTCAGTGTTGCAAGAGTCTGATTTTTTGGATGTGTTCATAAGATTTAGTTTTGGTCATGTTTAGGTTCATTAATGCTAGAAGGCGAATTCTCCAGCCAATGTTGGATTCAAGCTGTTCTGAAACTCCAAAAACAAAGAAGAAAACAGCTCAAAACCGCCCAGTTCAAAGGTTCTGGCCAGATTCCATTGCATCAGGAGTAACTCAGCATCAGTCAAATGAACTTACCATGTCAGATGGTGAGCAAATTCCTTATCTGTTTTGAATTCTACAAAGCTGCTTTATGTGCCTCTTAAACCATTAAGATAATTTTGTAAACAATGTCTCCACACAAACACCACCAAAACTAATGAATTAGCAGAGAAACTTTTTCTGACTGGTTGTGTCCAAATATAAACAAGGATTTGCTGATCCCATATAAAAATTGCCACTCTGCTGTGCATCTCACCACACATACAAACACAGCTGCAAGCTGATCCTACATGTATAGTATGCATATTTATTCAGAAGCAAGTTCCTTTTTGTTCAGTGGTGTTTGCTTTCCGAACAAGTATACACAGAATTGTAGCTTTAAAGATATGAATACTGGGTCCAATTTTATTAATATTTTTAATAATATTGTCCAATTTTACAAGTGAAAGTCTGTCCTGTCCTGAGTTAGGATGGAAGTGTTCTATTTGCAGTCATTGGTAAAGCTGGCAATATCTGAACAGCATCACTCCAGGAACTCAAATAGTTTTAGTGGATTTCTGCCAAATTTTTCTGTTATGCAGCTGGCTGCACGTTACATTTTTACAACTGGTTGTACAGCCAGTTGTATAAACATAATGCACAACTGGTTGCACAATGGATTACTCTTGTGCATAGACTGAAACCAAGTTTCCATATCACAATGACAACTGCTCTAACAGAAAGACATATTTGGATTTCCCCCAAGGTTTTAAAATTTCAGGGTTCTCACGTGGGCAGAAATTAAACTGAATAAACATGTTGGCATCTTTCACTCATTCCTGCATGCTCTCCCTCCCTCCCTCCCTCCCTCCCGTGTGTGTGTGTGTGTGTATGTACGCACACAAAATTACTTGCAAGGAAATGGTAGTTCAAATGTTACCTTCACCTTCAGTGCACTTTCAGTGCTTAGATTCTTGGAATTTCAGTCTACAGTACTATTACAGTTTATTTTAGAGTGACATTAAGCATGGAAAACCAAAGGACTGATGCTTTACACAGAGCAAGCTCCAAGAGTATAGCCCTCTGTCTGTCTGTCTATCCTAAGCCCTGAGGCAGTGCAGGACAAATAACAGAGCCATACTCACCTCCTGTTCCTGCTTTTTAAGATTTTTAGTTTGCTTGACCTCTCATCTCATCCACCTGGCCTACCTCTCAGATGAATCCAACGGATCCATGACCTTTCCTTCTGCCTCCCTGGCCACTGTCACCCCATTTTCTCCTTCAACAACTCTCTCTTGAGGTCACTGTTCCACCTGTGGAAGAGAAGATGCTCCAGGACTTTCTGCAGCAAGTGCAAAAGCGTGGTTGGCTGAAGAAACTACAGCTTCCTGTGGTCCCTGGAATGTCCTGTTAGAGATCATAAAACTGTTTTGCAAATAGACATTTCAAAATATGAATGGTGGATTTAAAAAAAAATCTAATTGATTCAGTTGGGTTGTATTTTTTCCTTCCCTTTTCCAGGAGCCGTTGTGACAATTACTGCTCCAGTCAACATGAATGTAGACAGTCTCCAGTCTCTTTCATCTGATGGTACCACTTTAGCTGTTCAACAAGTCATGATGGCAGGACAAAGTGAAGATGAATCTGTAGACAGCACTGAAGATGATGGAGCAGACCTTTCATCTACAAACATCAGTGGGCTGGTCTTGGATAACAGTGATTCTCTGCAGTAGGAAGCAAGAGAATTTGGCTTAAATGTTTAGGAAAAACAATGAACTGACTGACTTTTTATAGTTTGCACAGCAAACATTTTACACAGTTTTATTTCTAATATGTTTTATATGTAGATATAGAAGAGTGCACTTTTTGTATTTCATAGTAAGCTTAAAGAGTGTCTTTGCAGGTGCAGCAACTTCTTTCAAATGTGTTGTTTTTGATTTTAAATTTGAAAAATCTAGTAATTTAAAAATGCATAATCAGCCCATTATTTTCTTAGAGCAGCTTTCTCACATGCAAAATTGATTCCACATTGACCTGATAATGGGGTGATGGGACTGAGGTCATCAGGAAAGATGGTAGATACCTGGTGGGTGAGTTAAAATTACTTCAGCATGGATTGAAACAGAACTCTATCACATAATCACCATCTTACTCAACATTTCCTGACCTATAACATCATAAAACTTGCTGCAGCTTTGTGACATAATGAAATTGCCCTGGTGGGAGAGTTAAAAGTACTTCCGTTTCCTTGAGCATTACACAATTTCAACTATTCCTCTCATTTTAAGATTACTCTTGGTGGTTTAACAATGTAATGTAAAGCATGTCAAACTAGTGTATGAGATTTCTTTATGAAGTTAGCCATGTAGATTTGAAAGATGCTTCTGCACCTTAAAAAAAATCCTGCCAGTCTGAAGTGGGCAAGAAACACACAAAAGTGGTGATGTGTGATTCATTAACGAATGTATGGCATTTAAAATAAACTTAATTTCTCATAGAGTTGTTAGGTGGAAACCTCTGAATTCTTCCTGTACCTTTTAAATTTGCCACTGAGGTAGCCACCACAGCTTCTGCTTCATGCTTTTCCCCTAGTCATTTTGGCCACCTACTCTGTAGCACAATTTAAATCCTATTTGCAACAGATGGGGGGGCACAGAAACAAGACTGAGAGAGGCAAAAATGGCCATAGCTTTCTCTTTAATATGTGGTAAATTTAAAGGTGCAGAGGGGATTCCTGGATTGCAACTTAGCAGCCTGCTCCTAGCCAGTGAGCCTGTTCATCATTTGCTATAAAACACTTATTTTTACCTTTATCAGGATTATTGGATTAAAAATATTTTTATAAATTATCTAAGAACTGAAATGACTGTATTGAGCATGAGAAAAGATGTTTAGTACTTCTATTTGGAAGGTTATGAAAACTGTCCAAATTGAATAAACATGCCTATGCTATATTCTGTGGATCTCTGCTATCCCATCGTGGAACAGCTATGATGTCATAAAAAGAATCCCCTCCTTAATAGGTTGTCGGATGCTAAGCATGTATATGACATGTAAACTATTGTTCAACTTATATTTCAGTCTATTTTGAAACGTGTTTCTTAAGAGAGTTGATGACCAGCTACCCGGTGAGTAAAAGTCTACAATCTTTTCTGTAATGAAGAGAAAATTCTTCATATCAATTGACAAGCTAAAAGATACTAGCTTATGAACTGGGATTAATCCACCTCCCTCACTACATAGCAAATGGATTTTGATTTTGCACTGCAAATTCAAGATAATGATAAGATTAAAATGGATTTTTCAAGCACTGCACTACATTTGTTGTGAACCATCCAGGCAGCTTCAGCTATTGGGTGATAATATAATGAATAATAATAATCCAACAGAGGTTCAAATATGATTCAACACACTCATGATGTCTGGGATTTTTTTTTCTTTTTTCTGTGCATTTTGGGTTTGCTTATAGCTCTACATATGTGCTGCTGCTGGAAGCTGGAATTTTCCCACTGTCAACTTTAAATAATAATCCTTATAGCACATCCAGACCAACTATTACAGGATATGAGACAGTTATCTTTTTTTTAGCAAAATCAGGATTCAACTCCAGCTGAATGTGGTGGATTAGCTTTGATACAAGTTCTGATTCAACAGAAAAAATAAGGGTGCTGTTAATTTCCTTTGTTCTTCTTAGTGGACATTTTAAAAATCACACCTATTTCTTCTGCTGCCTTTAGGCTGTATCATGCACAAAACCACCACTAAATGTTTCTACATGGTAAAGGTTCTCTGCAGTATTTCTTCAAATCCTCAATTTTCAATACAAATTGCTTGGATGAGTGAGATGTCCTTGCGCCAGCATTGTTTTCTCCCTAGGAGATGCAGCATGGGCGAGAATTATCACAAGGTCTGAGATGTTACGGCGGCAACCACGTGGAGCCTCTAATACAAAAGCGTTCTTCAATAGCAACAATGCTGTTACTGATAATGTTCAAATTGGCCCAGACTCGGAATACATGCCCTTTAGTCTCGTATGACTTCTGATTGCCAGATAAATGAGGCAACAGACAGAGATAGATAAGAAGGCCATGATATGCATAGCCTTGCAAAAAGGGAAAAACCCTTGGTTTTTCCAACCTTAGAACATTAAAAAATGCAAAGCAAGGGCCCAGCTGAGGGGTGACAGTCTTAGTGTGCTTCCAGGTGGAGGGCTTCTAATACTAGCAATCGGAAGGCATTGTAGAGCAGTTTTGTACTTTTTCCTGTAATGATTTTTATTTTTTTGAGAGCTAGAGGAATAAAGATGGAAGAAGAGGTGAAAATGGGAAGGCATTAATTGGAAGATGATGCCTGGACTCCCTGTAAATTCCCTGAGTGAGGTAGGATGATTGTACAATAAAAGCATCACCTGCAAGCACTTTTAGATTCAGGATTAGGCTGACGCTGTAGTGGTTGTTACAGCTGTGTAAAACTTAAGCCAACCCCTAACTTACTGTGCATTTCTGGAAATAATAGGAAGAAAATGGGAAAAGAGATTTATAAAAGTTTGTTTGGGAAAAATTCATAGAAGGCAGCAAGCTTAAGGGAATGATATTCAAGCCTTAATAAAAGCCACAAAATTAAAACAGTTGAAATGAAGAACTTCTGAAATCTGCATCTGAATACATTTTATTGTTCTATTAAAGTTAGTAGAAGTTTTTTCATTAAGTGGGATGTTTCATAAAGCCTTTATCAAAGTACGAAACTCATCTTTTTCTGTCTTTTTAAAACTGGAATAGTTGTGGCAGCATCCAGCCAGAAAAAATGAGTGTTGTGAACTTGTTGGGTGGTTAATTCTTCAGCTACAGGTAGCATGGCCAGTGTTCAAGGATGGCAGACATTGTAACTCAACTACATCTGGAGGACCCTAGGTTTTGCCCTCTGGCGTAAACTGCTTTTCCTAGCCACAGGTGGTATTGAAAAATGTGTGCTAGAAGGACTGTGAACTTCGTCATCATAATGTGGCCTAATGGGTACCTATAGATAATTTGCTTTTTATAGCACTGTCCACTTAATAAACCAGTGAGGAATGGGGACGATAACCAAGGAGAACTCATGTCCTAGGAATGCTTTAAAAGCATTTTTACATAATTCAAATTCAAAACTCAATAGCTGTTGTATTCTGCCCTGGTTTATTTGGTGATGTTTAGAAACATTCCATCACTTGAAATAGTTGGTCAAATGTAAAATGAACTAAAATGAGTAACCAAAACAATCCTGTGTGCTCCTCTCAGAACCAAATGGAAACAACATAAAATGCTAATATACTGCTTTCCAAGTAACCATTTTAAAGCATTGCATTACATGAATGTGTGCAGTTTCTCATTTATGCATCATAATGTTCCTCATTGTCTTGGTGCTGATATTTCCATCTCATGCATGCATTATTAAACCGCTTCACATACAGTGTAGCTAAGAATAATCACTATGTGGGTATCCAGAACTAGTTGTGCATCCATTATGCTATTAGTGTGCAAAAACAGATGGGGTGGGATAGAGGCTTGGGATGTCTTTGTGGCATAGTACTACCTGCACAGTTAGAAAGACACACCTCAAAAGAAGCACAGAGATGGCAGGCAGAATGAAAGCTGATGTGGGATGTCTAAGCCAATTGTGAGAAGGCCTGTTTCACTTTAATGTATTAGCTTGACAAAGAAATTTAAAAGTTCAACACTAATCAAGAACAGGGTTTGTCACAAGGTTCAGACTGCACCATCTAATGATTTTTCTATTTGCATATATCTGATGGAGATATGTTAAGCATCAATTTCTGAATAGGTATTCCACCTTTCTCTTTGAAACATTTTACAGAACTTACTGGAATTGCGTTGCAGGTTAAACCAAATTATTTTTATCAAACTCAGATTGCATTTTTCCTCGGCTGCTTTCACATTTTCAAGTGATTTTGATTCCACAAAAACTGGAAAGAGCCCTGTGTGGGGTTCCAAACCATGTGTATGTCAGCTCTTTGGAGCTGTGATCCTATTTTTTGGGTTAATTTAATTCTGCTGCTTCAGATGCTTAGCAGCAAAAATGCCTATGCCTGCAAGAGCAGCCTAATGTAAAGTTGGTGGAAATGCTTGGTTTCATATGAATATTGGTTGCTGATGCAGGATACAAGAAATGTGAAAACAAACAAACCACCTTAGGCCTTCAGAGCTATAGGCTGATAAATTAATATTGGTTGTGCAGGAAGCCAATGCAACCCCTAAAAGATACAGTGTCATCTCCTTCTGTTCCTAAACTTATAATCTTAGTATAGCTTTGTATTTTCGAAATACAAAGAAATAACCAGTGTTCCATTATGTCAGGAAATATTATAACTGACAATCTTTGAAATCTAAATTCTAATCAGTTTAGGTGTTCTGTATGTCTTTTAATGGAATTCTTGGAAAATGTTTGCGCATGGCATAATTATGTTTCATCTGTGTGTTTTATATGAAATTGCTCAACTTAAAACAAGCATGCTTTCTTTCTCTGCTTTGTGTTTAAAAGTAAAATTTTGAATTGCTTTAATTAAGATCCACTGTATTGGTTACGTTCACTTTTCCCTGTTTTCAGCCCTGCATAATGCAAATATCAATTTGTATTTGTTTCGGAATTAATTACAGTGAGTAAGTTTTGTTTTAAAAGGTTCCACACCACAATTCAAGGCATAGGAGCAAAAATGTGAAAAATGTTAGAACATTGTATTTTTAATTGTACAGACATTTACTGAAAGACTATGCAATTGTTTAATTCAGAATATTTCTTTTCTTTGTTCTGAAATAAAAATGACAGGGATATCAAATTTCTTCCAGTGGCCTTTCCTTTCAAAGGCCTTTTAGAAGATTCCACTTTCCCATAGCCACTGTGGTCAATAATTGGTTTCTTACTATTTAATAGATATACTATGGCTGTTGTCCAGAATCGAAAATACTAATTTAGGCATGCTCAATTCTGCTCTAAGATCCTGTCCTGCTTTTTCTTCCGTGCTTTGGACAGCAGACCTGCAGGCAAAACTGCTTTTGATGGATCCCTCAGTTCCAAAAGAGGTTTGCCATGGGAAGCTAGCTACATCCAAAGTCCCCTTTGGGTGTACAAAACCAGCTATGCAGATCCAGACCTATACAATCTTATCTTTCCTAGAAGCTGAGTATCCAGTTACATTCCCAAGAAGTGCAGCTTGTCCTCTCAAGAACCATCTTTCAGTTCTTCTCTGTGGCTCCTTAAATTGTTCTTTCTGATTTCTGGTGCCTCCAAATGGTTCCACGACTCCCTGATCTTGAATCTTAATATATTTGATCTAAACATCTTGCAGTTTAGTTATGTGAATAGACTTGGAACAGAGGATGTACCTGCTTCTTCCATCACCAAGATGCATGAAAGATAACACAGCTGATTTTACAATTATTCGGTGGAGAATAATGACCAGACTGAAAAGTTGTCTAGAAACCAACTGTGAATCCAGTTCAGGCAGGCAGCAAATTATCAATAATTATGGTTTTGACATCCTTCAGTCACTAATACACCGTCCTAGAAATATTGTTTCCTCCCTACACATCCATGTCAACTTGCCTCTTCAAGAGATGGTATTTAGGCCTTGGTCAGACATAACTTTAAATTGGGTTAGCAGTATGTGTGTGAGCTTGGGGTTCATGCAGTCACTTCCCATTTTCCCAGTGCAGCTGAAAAGAGATTGGAAGCTTTCGCTCCATTTTTCAGTAAACTGTATTGTAGCATTATGTTTGAATGCTACGTAACTATGTTTTCCCTATCATCGGAAGATGGCTTGTTTCCCTCAACCATAGCTAAGACTAAGCACAGTCAGCCTTGGGGTTCAGGCATAACACTAAACTGCAGTTAGTGTAAATCAAAGAAATTGTTTCCAATTTGCTAGCCACAGTGGAGAAGGATAGGAATGAGAATGCATGAGCCCAGAATTCATGTATATTTAGTGTCGCATTCAAATAAGGTCTAAGAACATGCAGCTGTATATTTCTAAAAAGGTAATCTGAAATGGATACTGCATTTAAGAAATACCTGTGTACTTTGTACAAGTTATCACTGTTCAGTTTGCACTGAAACAATACTTATATTGAAGTAGCGTTAATATCTAATGCTGGTTTTACCTTTTTCTCTAGCCAGCAATCTGTTTTTACTAAGAATAAGTTAAATTGATTGGTAGAATCATGATATATATGGGTAAAGCATGTGGTTGTTTGTCAGCTTTGGAAAGCAGGCTGTAGCTCCTGAATTTCATTAGTGCAATTTACATCCTAGATTCTGTCTTTACTTTTGGTTATGCCAGGTGTGTTTACTTACAGGCCCAGAAATGTCACCTAAATGCTGAGGCAGAATGGAATGGTTCAAATGTTTTCCTGTACTGTGATTGATATATAGATGAATATCAGGAATCAGGGAGTCTGATGCAAATAGCAGGAGCTAATGAATAATGTATACATTTATTAAAAGGTTATGCATTAATTAAAATGGTAATTGTGGGGAATATATGTATGCCTGTGTCAGGAGTACACAATCTCCATTGCTGATGGAGTGGGATCTCTCTTCATACCTTAAACATTGTTCCAGTTGTGACCTCTGAAGCTGAATGGCTCTTAGGGTTGCTAACATTTCCAGTGGCTTTGAAAGTTGATCTGCAGGCATTAGTTACTAATAGTTATCAGCAAGCTGTGAAAAACTTTGCCTAGTGATTTCTGGCATTCAAATTTTGGTTCAAAAGTAGGCCAGGCCAGGTTCTCTCAGAAGCTTTAGCACAATCCTATGCATGCTGCATGAAATGGAAGACCCATTGATTTCAATGAAACATGCTTCCAGACAGATGATTAAAGCTCTAATGGCTTTAGAGCTGTGCCTCCTGAGCAGAAAGACATCTTTCTACATAGGCTGCAGGCTTGGGGCAGTTTGGGGGTGGGGGGAATACTATTGTAGAGTTCTCTGACAGAATTCCTGTAGATAGAACACCTAGTTTCCCTCCCATAGTTTAAAAGCAGTTATGTGACATAGATGGCAAAACTGTAATTTGTGAACTGAGTGCAGTTGTCCTTTGCACAGTTGATTGTGACAATGAGTATCAAAAGACATGCAGTCCAATTGGGCAAGCCAATCTGTATTGAAAACAGGTGGAAAACAGAGAGTATTTCAGTCTTATTACTCTCTGTCAGAGGAGCTTTCTGCAACCTAGCTCCCTGCAGGTGTGTTAAGAATAGCAAGTTTTGTAGTCCAACATATCTGGATACCACCCAGTTGGTTAGAACCATCTGTATGGTTGTTATGAGTGCCTTTTATTAGCTCAGAAGCAGACAGCATGACCAACCAACTTGAGGTGAGTAGATGCAATGAGTAGATGTTTCTGCATGTTTTTTTACCTGCTTTTGAGAAGAGGTTTTTATTGATTCTGATTATCATGGTGTTTTCTTTCTGGGTGGAACATGTCAATGCTGGTGTGTCTTCTTGGCCCCTAAGTTTGTATTTTTTGACATATTTGCTGTAACTAGGTGCCACTATGGTGCTTTTTTGTCTTAATTTCTCTTTATGAACAGCAACTAATATTTGGAATATTTGTCTTCTCAGCAGGTCCTGATGATGATGAATTTCTATACTGCCATTTCTGTATCTGGTACAAAGATATCTTGAAAGTACAGAAAATGACTAAAGCAAGCAAAATTGCACAGACTCAGCATTTACCCCTTGCTCCTTTGTATATTACTTACCAGATTATCTTGTAGAATATTTGATATTTGTAGAGGAGATAGAAAATAAGTGGTGAGTTTATGAGTGGTGTGTAAATACAGTGATTACAAGACTAATTTCTGCTGTTGAAAGGGGTAGGCAAGCTTTCATATGGCTGTGCTTATCATCAAGAATAGCATCAGAAGAGCTTTGGGTTGTATCCACTGCTAGTCATACAGAGTAGTTTCATTGAAATGAAAGGGATATAAATTAACCATAACTAACTTTCAATTGCTCTACTGTACATAGGACTACTTGCATTTATCTACTTGCATTTGCATGCTTTCGAACTGCAAGGTTGGCAGGAGCTGGGACAGAGCAATGGGAACTCACCCCGTTGTGCAGATTCGAACTGGCTACCTTTCGATCAACCAGCCCAGCAGCACAGCGGTTTTAACCACTGTGCCACCTGCAGTCCTTTAAAATTAATGGACAGGCATTATTTATGAAAACATTTTACATATATGAAAAGCAGTCAATAGTGTGGGTCCTAGCCTGTAGAATACATACAGAAAAGTTAGGATGAGTTTATTCTGTAGTAGCTCTTTCAAAGAGCCAACATCCAACCAGCTTTTTGAAGGTAAGGCAATCACAAAAAGCTAAATCAAATTGAATGCATCAAAATGTGCCAAACTTTCTGCTTTAGGACATACAGAAAACATTAATTTATGGCTCAGCTTGGGAACTGCATCCTATTTGGATCTGCCACTATTTCCTACATATAATATTTAATATGCAGTTAAACATTATTGCCATACATTTATTTTTCAAAATTCTGGATGCTTAGTTGTTTCCCATACTCATTTCAGCAAGGTATAATTGATTCCCAGAATCTAAACATTTCATTCTTTATTAAATTCGTTCTAAACCTTGTGCTGGATCATGGAATCTTTTCACTGTAACTGATACATATCTCATGATTAAGAACATTCAGTGACAACTAAGGAATTAAGAAGGAATTACTCTTTTCATAAATTGCAATTTCTTATTTTACCTTCCAGATAAACTCAGAGCTGTCAAAGTGTTATTAGGATAATAAAAAAGGAGAATTTTCTAATTCCCAATCTAATATTCCTCACAAAATAAAAACCATTTTCTAATATTTTAATATTCTATATTTTCCCTTCACAGAAAACAAATTACATAAATCAAATTCCCCAATTGTACCTAAAAATATGTCTTGCCTATTCCCTGATTAAAATGGTGTTAAATTCCTAACTACCAAAGCATGCACACAGTGATATCTAGGAACGTTGAATCAGGGATTGTGATCGAGTTCTTCATCACATGCTGTATTAAGAATCTTTTATTCTATCTTCTGCTTTTGTTTCAAAGATGCCCCTTAACCTCTCCTGTTCCCTCCAGCTATTTAGACACAAAATGCAAACAAATCTGCATGTGATCTAAAATACATTAATCAACAACAGAGGGCCCGATAGGTTGTAATGAGTTAAGAAACAGATACTTTAATAGTTGAATTTATGGATCCCTTGCCCCAAATCTTGTTCTGATCCAATAATTGAAATATGTTTTACATTAACTGCCTAGCAGATTGTTTTGCACTGAAGCTTCCCACCTTCTTCAGGACATTGACAAGTCTTACATTCTTCATTAATGGTTTCCCCAGCAGATACAAAATGGTCATTCCTGGTGGGACAAGCGCATACTCCACAGCCATCCATCGGTCTTCCTATGTACTTGCAAGTTGGTGGAATTTTAGGGCAAGTTGAAATGCATTTGATCTTGCCTCCAGAAACACAAGTGCACTTTCTGGTCCCAAAGTCAATGTACACAGACTCTCCCAGAATCAGGATCCCTTCCTCACCACACTCTCCCTCCAGAACGGGAGGACAGGAACATGGAGGGATGCAACGAGGACAGCATTCACCCTTGATGGTCACCGCTGTGTGATTATCAGGACAAGCCAAGCAGCTTACATGAGCGCACTCTGGTGGTAGATGCCTGCAATCACTGTTTTGTAGAAAGGACCAGGTCAGCAGCAGGCAAAGGAAGGGCTCAGGCTTCAACATTCTGCATCAAATGCAAAGAGGCCCATCA